GATAAAGAAGAAGTGGTATATATATACAATGGAATATTATGCAGCCATCAAAAGGAATGAGATCTTGCCATTTGCAACAACGTGGATGGAACTGGAGGGTATTATGCTGAGCGAAATAAGTCAAACAGAGAAAGACATGTATCATATGACCTCACTGATATGAGGAATTCTTAATCTCAGGAAACAAACTGAGGGTTGCTGGAGTGGGGGGTGGGGTGGGAGGAATGGGGTGACTCGGTGATAGACACTGGGGAGGGTATGTGCTCTGGTAAGCGCTGTAAATTGTGCAAGACTGTTGAATCTCAGATCTGTACCTCTGAAACAAATAATGCAATATATGTTAAGAAAAAAAAAAAAAAGAAGAAGATAGCAGGAGGGGAAGAATGAAGGGGGGGAAATCGGAGGGGGAGATGAACCATGAGAGACGATGGACTCTGAAAAACAAACTGAGGGTTCTAGAGGGGAGGGGGGTGAGAGGATGGGTTAGCCTGGTGATGGGTATTAAAGAGGGCACGTTCTGCATGGAGCACTGGGTGTTATGCACAAACAATGAATCATGGAACACTACATCTAAAACTAATGATGTAATGTATGGTGATTAACATAACAATAAAAAAAGCAAAAAAAAAAAAGAAGAAGAAGTAGGTGAGTGTCCCAGGCATTCCTAGCTGATAGCATCACTGTTAATGGCCTGAGACTGACACAAAACACTATTGTTACAATGTCACTTTCTCCCCAAATTGATCTATAGATTCAACACATACCCAATAAAAAAAAATCTCAGCAGGCTTTTTTGGTAGAAATTGTTAAGTTGGTTCTAAAATATATACAGAAATGCAAAGAGCACAGAGTAGCCAAAATAATTATGAAAAAGAACAAAAAAATCTGGAGGGCTTAAACTATCTGATTTTAAGACTTAGTATAAAAATCTTTTATAATCAAGACAGTGCAGTAGTCAATGGAACAAAACAGAGACCACAAATAGACCAAAAAACATATGGCCAAGTATTTTTCAATACAACTGTCAAGGCAATGGGATAGGATAATCTTTTCAACAAATGATGCTGGAATAATTGGACATCCATATGCAAAACTCTGTAAAAACTTTACACCATGTTCAAAAATTAACTCAAAATGGATCACAGATCAGGGGCGCCTGACTGGCTCAGTCAGTAGAGCATGTGACTCTTGATCTCAGGGTCATGAGTTCAAGCCCCATGTTGCGCATGGAGCCTACTCTAAAAAAAAATTAAAAAAAGATCACAGATCTAAATGTATGAGTTAGAACTGTGAAATATCTACAACTGCCCTGCTCAATACAGTAGCATGTGGCTACTGTGCACCTGAAATGTAGCTTCTATAGATTTAGATGTGCCGTTAAGTATAAAATACACATCAAATTTTAAAGACCAAGTACCAAAAAAAAGAATGTAAAATATTTGATCACTGAATTTTTATATCACTTAGATGTTGAAATGGTATTATTTAAAGATATTAGGTTTACATATATCATATTATTAGAATTAAGTTCACCTTTTTAGAAGATTTTGGCTGCTAAAAAATTTTAAATTACGTATGTGTCTTACCTGATATTTATTTAATGGTGCTGGCCTAGAGGTAAACGTAGGAGAAAGTCTTATTGACCTTGCAAAGATTTTTTTTAAATAGGGCATGAGAAGCATGAATTACAAGAGAAAAAAAATTATAAACTAGATTCTTCAAAATAAAAAACTTTTGTTTTTTTTTTAAAGGTTTTTATTTATTTCTTTGAGAGAGAGAAAGAGCAAGAGTGGGGGGGTGCAGAGGCAGAGGGAAAGCAGACTCCCCACTGAGCAGGGAGCCCGACGTGGGACTCGATCCCAGGACCCTGAGATCATGACCTGAGCCGAAGGCAGACGTTTAACCAACTGAGCCACCCAGGCGCCCCAAAACTTCTGCTTTTTAAAAACTACCATTAAGAAAGTGAAGGGACAAGGGAGGTGGATGGGGGATAGGCTAGATGGGTAATGGGATTAAGGAGGGCACTTGTTATGATGAGCACCGGGTGTTATATGTAAGTGATGAATCACTAAGTTCTACTCCTGAAACCAATATTACACTGTTTGTTAACTAACTAGAATTTAAATAAAAGTTTGGAAAGAAAAAATAATTAAAAAAAGAAAAGAAAATGGGTCACCTGGGTGGCTCAGTTGGTTAAGCATCTGCCTTTGGCTCAGGTCATGATCCCAGAGTCCTGGGATCAAGCCCCAAGTCAGGCTCTCAGCCCGGTGGGGAGTGTGCTTCTCCCTCTGCCCCTCCCCCTGCTCGTGCTCTCTCTCTCTCAAATAAAAAAATAAAATCTTAAAAAAAAATAAAAAGAAAAAAAGAAAAGAAAATGAAGAGACAAGCCACAGTCACAGGCACAGACTGGGAGAAATATTTGCCAACCATTTGTCTGATAAATGATTTATAGTCAGAATACAAAAAGAACTCTAACAACTCAATAATAAGAAACCAAATTACCTAATGGTAAATAGGGCAAAAGATTTGCAGAAACTTCAGAAAAACATGGATGGCAAGCAGTCACAGGAAAAAGATACTCAACATCATCAGACATTAGGCAAATGCCAATTAAAACCAAAATGAATTACCACTTCATATCCACTAGAATGGTTAAAATTAAAATGACTGTTGATACTAAATGTTGATGAGGATGCAGAACAACTGGAATTCTATTACATTGCTGGGGGAATGCAAAATGGTAGAGCCGGGTTTTTTTTTTTTTTTTCAAAGGTTTTATTTATTTGACAGAGAGAGAGACAGCGAGAGAGGGAACACAGGCAGGGGGAGTGGGAGAGGGAGAAGCAGGCTTCCCGCGGAGCAGGGAGCCCGATGCGGGGTTCGATCCCAGGACCCTGGGATCATGACCTGAGCTGAAGGCAGACGCTTAACGACTGAGCCACCCACGCGCCCCGGTAGAGCCGTTTTTAAAACGTTTGGCAGTCTGTGAGACACACATATACGTATGACACAGCAATTCCATAAAAACACATGTCCACACAAAGACTTGTATAAGAATGTTCACTGCAGCTTTATTCATATTTGCCCCAAACTGGAAAGACCTCAAATGTCCATCAACTGGTGAATGGAAAGACAAATTACAGTAGACCCATATAGTGAAATACTACTCAGCAATAAAAAGGAACTATCTGATGACACACACAACATGAAAAAAATCTTAAAAACATTATGCTAAGAGAAAGAAGACACAAAAGACTACATGTTATACGATTTCATTTATATGAAATTCTACAAAAGGAATTTCTGTAGTGTTAAGTAAATCAGTAGTTTCCAAGAGTAAGGGGGTGGACTAAAAATATAAATGAGGGAACTTTCTGGGGTGATGGAAATGCCCTATACTATGATTCTATGATTGTAGGGATGGCTATAAAACTCTAGAACTGTACACTTGGTGATTTTATTGTAGGTAAAATATACTGTAACAAAGCTGACCAAAACAAACAAACAGACCAACATAAAGCACGGTTTCTGATTCCTAAGAACTTGCATTTCTAACAATTCCTATCAAATTCCCAGATGACACTGATGCTGCTGTTCCTGGGACCTCACTTGGAGACCCCTTGTCTAGAGACACTGCCAAAAGGGGACTAGAATAAGCTGAGATCATCCTAATTCTTGCCCATTCTGTGTCGCCACTTAGCACTCCTATCTTCAAGAGGACAGACACTCCAGAAACACTGCAGCTTCTCATACCTCCTGACATACCTCCTGAAGGCATGGTGCTTTGAGAATGAACTAGAAGTCCTTTGGGAGTAAATTAAAGCACCTCAGGATCAGAAGCAAATTTGACCTGTCAACATATCCCATTTAACAGACCAGGACACCTGCCCTGGAACACAGCTCGCACCCACAGGCCTTTGCTCATATTGTTCTTTTGTCCTGCAAGACCTTTCCCTGACCTCAACTGCCGAAGCTGCACTTATTCTAAGCCCAGCCCAAATGGTATTTCCCTCACAGAACCATATGGAATACTTCCTTTCCTACATGTTCTCACTGACATTCACGTGTTCCTTCATTATAGTGCTTATATCTAGTCCTACCTGTGTATCTTAATAAATATCTATAGAGAATCAAACCAATTTCTAATTGAAGGAATTATTAACGGCAGGGGTACCTAGAAAACAAAGGCATTTAGAGATGCCACTCATAGTTTTTTTGTTAGTCCTTTTTCTCTGGGAGTTTCTCTCTCTCCTGTGATAATAAGCCTGATTAGTCCTTGTAGTGCTGGTTGGGCCAACTCTACCCACTGGTCCCAGGGGTGGGCTCAGGACTTAGGTTTGACCAATCGGGAGTCTTTCCTCCTCCTAGCTCCAGCTCTGGGTTCATGATGGGAACATTGCCCAATCCAGACCAACCAGATATCTTCCCAGTGTTCTTACCAGAACCACAGGCAGAGATGTTTACACCTGAAGTCTTTACATATAATTAAAGATGCAAACATAGTAGACAAGGAAAATTATTACACAGTACTCATCACAATGACCCAGGCCACTGTGTGGTGATCCTTACAGCACCCAAAATAACATGAGAGAAAGGCACAAAGGAAACATTAAAGACAACTTACAAACCTGGCCAATCACTGAAGACTGAAGACTCTGGGTTATGCTGGATTAGCTAAGAGGGCACCTTTGGGCCAAACATAGAAGGTAAAGGGCACAACTCTTAGACCTTCTCCAGGCTTTAGCACCAATGGATGAAGCTTACTCAAGGGTCAAAAGAGAATGATGTCCAAAAGAACAAATACCAGAAACCAGCAAAAGGTGAATGGAGGCAAGAGATGTGCATGTGTCCATGAGATGAACATCAATGGGCTTCAGAGGTCTCTGCAGGAAGTGTTGCTAGTAGCTAGCAACATGAGCTCCCGAAGTGAGAGGACAAGGGATGCACTAGTCCTTCAGGAGATGATTCTCAGGAAAGGAGCTGCACAGGGACGTGCTCACCTGCATGATTATGCGCTCTCCATCCTTATAGACCTTCTCTCCTATTACATCCACAATCTTCATTCGTTCCGACACCTGAAACAATGGACATACCCATAAACTACAAGGAAAAGACCTCAATTGAAAGTCACAAATAATACCTAAACGACATAGAAGTGTGTTAGAATAGTCCAATTTGAAAATTTAATAGATTACTTTGAAATATTAAATCTCCACAAACAGACTCTTATTCAAATACACTTTACCTCTAGTGATTTAAGGAGGGGCACAGATTCAATAAATGATTCAAACATCCTTCTCTTTTTTGCATTGTTTTTCACTATGATTCTCCTAAAAGTCACACGGTCCTACAAGAAAGAACATGAAAATTCTGGTAAATGCCTCTGTAAGAGAACACCAATGATTTAATTAACTGGATGACAGCAAAAATTAGAGAACTATGGAATGTACTGGGCCAACTGAGTGTTTAATGACATTTTAATCTGAGTCACCACTGGAAGAGAAAGACTGGTAACCTGTGTCAGACAGATGTCCTCCGTGTAATTGCTTGCTATCTATACTCCATGAGTGCCACCTAGGGGTCATAAACAGAATACAAAATACAAAACTCCCAATCAAACACTTGCGAGCTCACAGTCACTGTTCAGTGTGAAAAGATGCACATTTGAAAAAAAGATAAAACAATCAGAGGGCTCTTGCCCTGAAGGACTTTACAGTCTCAATGGGGAGACAATACAAAATATACGGGAATAAAAAATCTACAGTTCAAGACAGCATATGAAATGTGCTAGGTGAGCGATAAAGACAAGAAGAGTTAAGTGCCACAAGAATTCTGAGGAGGGAGAGAGAGAGATCACAGTAAGCTGGAGTGATCAAGGATATTTCTGTTGCAAAAATACAAATTTTGGGGGCGCCTGGGTGGCTCACTCGGTTAAGTGTCTGCCTTCGGCTTAGGTCATGCTCCCAGGGTCCTGGGATCGAGCCTTGCATCAGGATCCCTGCTCAGTGGGAGTCTGCTTCTCCCTCTCCCTCTGCCACTTCCCCTGCTTGTGCTCTGTCTCTCTGTCAAATAAATAAATAAAATCTTTAAAAAAATTTTTTTGGTGGGGTGCCTGGGTGGCTCAGTTGATTAAGTGTCCAACTCTTTTTTTTTTTTTTAAAGATTTTATTTATTTATTTGAGAGAGAGAGACAGAGAGAGAGAGCATAAGAGGGGGGAGGGTCGGGAGGGTTAGAGGGAGAAGCAGACTTCCTGCCGAGCCGGGAGCCCGATGCGGGACTCGATCCAGGGACTCCAGGATCATGACCTGAGCCAAAGGCAGTCGCTTAACCAACTGAGCCACCCAGGCGCCCTTTTTTTTTTTTTTTAAGATTTTATTTACATATTTGACAGAGAGAGACACAGCGAGAGAGGGAACACAAGCAGGGGGAGTGGGAGAGGGAGAAGCAGGCTTCCCGTGGAGCGTGATCTCAGCTCAGGTCTTGATCTCAGGGTCATGAGCTCAAGCCCCATGTTGCGCTCCACACTGGGTGTGGAGCCTACTTAAAAAACAAATACATAAATATATGTATGTATAATATATAGAAGTAATAGAAGTATTATATATATATAAATATTTAAATATTTAAAATTTAATATAACTTTAAAAAATATAAATTTGGGGGTACCTAAGGGAGGGAGAGGATTTAAATTAATGGAAAGAGAGGGGAGGAAGCTCAAGATGGAAGGCAGGAATGTGAAAGGTCCCTTGGCCCCAGCAAGTCATGGATTCAGATCAGGAGACAGCTAACCAGAGCTACAGTCAGGCCCCTCTCAGATATGTGTATGTATGTGTGGGGAAGGACACACACAGCCAGGAGAATGTTAATTGCTTAGTTTTAAGTTTCTTGTAGCTAAGTTAATTGCACCTTTTGTCCACCTCAGGCTGTCAGGGATGGAAAGGTGTTTTTTTTTTTTTTTTTTTTTTCCTTTGAAAGCACATAATGAAATCCTGAAGGCTGGCAGAATGAAACATAGCAAGGTAAGGACATGTTTAACTGTAAGTTTGCTATTGTGGTAGTGGAGTAGAGAAATCCCATTGAAGACAACTGAGTTGAGATGTCCAAATGGCTTTCACTGGCTCATATTCCACTAGCTACAGAATTCCCAGCCCCTATCCCATACCATGTTTTATCTGCCTTACTAGAGAAGTCACTTACTACACCCTATACTCCTAGTATGAGCTACAGCAGACTCCAACCCTCCCCCTGAACTGCTGTAGAAATCATCTGCTCTCCAGCACAGAGCCAGATTCTGCTCCGTTTCTTCTCCATCTGTCTGCTTGAAAAGAGCCATTCGATCTCTGATTGCTCTAATGGGCTGCATGATTTGCCACTACTTTTTTAAAGTCCAAGGTTAGAGATGTATCATTTAAAATGTTCCTGTTATACTTTGGAATATTATCCCATTATCTTTAGAATTCAATTTCTACATGTTTTCTGGGCCAATCTAGGCATGAATGCTATAGAAAGAGGACAATCCAAAGTGAGAAAATGGGAATTATAAAGTTCTCTTCCTTCTATTTGAGTAGGCATTATCAAAAAATATTCTAAAAATCCCTCTATAATGTCACAAAGATTGCTACAATTGCAATAGCAAACTATTTCTAGCTGAAGAGAAAACAACTGGTATCTCCCAAAGTGATGGATTTATTAATGTTCCAACCCTTTCTATGCAGACTTCCACCCTTCCCAGAGCTCTCACGCTGAGCAAGGCCAGCCCCTGTGGCTGTGGAGGGCATGCAAAAGCAGTGGACCTTAACCCAGCTTTCAGGTGGCTTCCAATGGAGCTGTGAAGAGGAAACTCCCACTGTGAAATAGCGGCTCCTTCAGGCAGCAAGTGTTCAGAGTCAAGCATACAGCCTGAGGTTCAAAAGAGAAAAGGAACACTACGCTTTCCTGTGATTGCGTTTCGTAAGAAAGTTTCTATTGACTTTCACTTTTGCAAGAGAGAACGGGAGCAGAGACTGAGTGTTAGCAGTCATGGTGGCGGCTGCCCCCAGTAAGAGAAGGAATGTAGGATCCAATTTGAGAAACTCAAGTGACAACACCAAGTCTTCCCTGCTTTGGCCTCAGAAGGCATTTCCAAGGCCTTGGAAGGTACAAGAAGTCAGGCTGTGGAGGAGCCTCTTGGAGTCACTTTCTTGGAGGCAGTACTAAAGCACATGAACAAAGCAGGAGAAAAGCAGAGGCCAGAAGGGCATCTTGATAGGATGCTTAAGACAGCAGGGAAAGGAAGAAAAGATCACAAAAGATCAGGCTAGGAAGCAGAAAGACAAGGCAGGGATCTCGGGAGAGGGAGCTTCAGGAAGAGAATGGTGATAAGCAGCACCACAACCATGGAGAGCAGGTGTCCCATTCTGTAAGCCGCTCCCTTTTTTCAGACCCCAAGGGAGCTGCCTCTCTTATGTCTGTCTATTTCTCATACCCCAACCACGGGGCAGGTGGTTTTACAGTTCAATTTGTTAAAAAAAATTCTATTGTGACTTTGACTTAGAAATTCTTTAGGAATGTGCTATTTAATTTCCAAGTGTTTGGAGATTTTCCTGTTACCTCTCTGTTACGGATTTCTGGATATATTCCATTACGGTTAGAGAATACACGGTCTGATTTCAATTCTTTTAAATTTGTTAAGCTTTATTTTATATGCCAGGATATGGTCTATCTTGGTGAATGTTCCATGGGCTTGAAAAGAATGGGGACTCTACTGTTGTTGTATGGAGTGTTCTATAAATTTCAATTAGATCTTTTTGGCTGATGGTGTGGTTAAGTTCTTCTATATCCTTCCTGATTTTCTGTCTAATTGTTCCACCAACTCTTGAGAGAGGAGTGTTAAAGTCTGCAACTATAACTGTGGATTTGTCTATTTCTTCTTTCAGTTCTATCAGTTTTTGCTTCACATATTTTGAAGCTCTGTTGTTTGCTGTATACATATTTAGGGCTGCTATGTGTCTTCTTGGTAGATTAACGCTTTCATTATTATGTAATGTTCCTCTTTGTCCCTAGTAACTTTCTTTGCTATGAAGTCTATCTTATCTGATATTAATATAATTACTCTTGCTTTCTTCTGGTTAATGTTTGCATGGTATATATATAATTCTTTATTTTTACTTTCAACCTACCTATATCATTATGTTTGAGTGAGTTTGGTGCAGATAGAATAGAGTTGGGTCATCTAAAAAAATCCATGTGACTTGTCTCTGTCATTTAGTTGGTGTAATTAGATCATTATATTTACAGTAATTATTCATATATTAGGACCTACGTCTACCACTTTACTATATGTTTTCTGCTGTTCCTGCTTTTTGTTCCTCCATTTCATTTTCCTGTATTCCTATGGTTTACCTGAACACTTTTTAGAATTTTGATTTAGAGCTTTTGAATACATCCCTTTGTACAGATTATTTTGATGGTTGCTCTAGGTTATATTGATATATGTAACTTATCACAATCTACTGATGTCAGTCAACATTTTAGTAGTTGGAATAAAGTGTAGAAACTACTTCCATTTGGGTCCCTTTACTCCCTCCTTTAGACTATAATTGTCTTAAATATTTCCTCTATATACACTGAGAACCACATCGGACAATAATTTTGCTTTATTTTTTTTTAAAGATTTTATTTATTTATTTGACAGAGAGAGACACAGTGAGAGGGAACACAAGCAGGGGGAGTGGGAGAGGGAGAAGCAGGCTTCCCACTGAGCAGGGAGCCCGATGTGGGGCTTGATCCCGGGACCCTGAGATCATGACCTGAGCTGAAGGCAGACGCTTAACGACTGAGTCACCCAGGCGCCCCAATAATTTTGCTTTAAGCATCTAACACAATTGAGAAAACTCAAGAGGATAGTCTTTTATATCTCCTCATAGTTTCCTTTTTCTGTTGTTCTTTCTTCATTCTTCATGTTTCAATTTTCCTTTTTTTATCACTTTCTTTCTGTTTGAAGAACTTTCTTTTGCCATTTTTTTTAAGGTAGGCCTGCTGGTAAAAAAGTCTCTTAGTTTTCTTTGATCTGAGAATATCTTCATCCCTGCAGGATATTCTAACTAGGTATAGAATTCTGAGCTGAGGGCGCCTGGGTGGCTCAGTTGGTTAAGCGACTGCCTTCGGCTCAGGTCATGATCCTGGAGTCCTGGGATCGAGTCCCGCATCAGGCTCCCTGCTTGGCAGGGAGTCTGCTTCTCCCTCTGACCCTCCTCCCTCTCATGCTCTCTGTCTCTCATTCTCTCTCTCTCTCAAATAAATAAATAAAATCTTAAAAAAAAAAAAAAAGAATTCTGAGCTGATAGTTATTTTTCCCCCAACATTGAAAAATGCTGTGCCACTTGTTCTGGACTCCATGGCCAGGAAAGCTGGTATCATTCAAACTGTCATTCCCTTACAGGTAATGCATTTTTTTTCTCTCCAGTAGCTCTAGAAATTTTTCATGTCTAGTTTTCTGAAGTTTGGTTATGTGTCTTGCCATAGATTTCTTTGTGTTTATACAATTTGGGGTTCACTCAGCTTTTTCAATCTGTAGGTTTATTATCTTTCACCAAATCTGGGAAGTTTTCAACTATTATTTCTTTGAAGAATCTTTTAGTTCTATACTCTTTCTCCTCTCCTTCTGGGATTCTATTGATACAAATATTCTATCTTTTTTTTTTTTTTAAGATTTTATTTATTTATCAGAGAGACAGAGGCAGGCAGAGGGAGAAGCAGGCCCCTTGCTGAGCAAGGAGCCTGATGTGGGACTCGATCCCAGGACCCTGGGATCATGACCTGAGCCGAAGGCAGACGCTTAACTGACTGAGCCACCCAGGCGTCCCCAAATATTCTATCTTTTGTTATTATCCCACACACTCTGTTCACTTCATTTCAGTCTGTTTTCTTTCTGTTGTCCAGAGTGGGTAATTTCTATTGTTCTACCTTCAAGTTCACAGATCTTTTTCCTCTCTCATATTCATTCTGCTATTGAGCCCATCAGTGAGTTTTTATTTTGGTTATTATATTTTCCAGTTCTAAAATTTCCCATTTGGATCTTCTTTCTGTCTTCTATTTCTCCATTGAGACCTTCTATTTTTATCTTCATTTTTTTTCAAGTGTGTCGATAATTGCTTGTTGATGGCTTATGTTACTGATTATATGATAACTGCTTTAAACCCTTGTCAGTTAATTGCAATATGTGTCATCTTGGTATTGGCATCTGTTGATTGTCTTTTCTCACTCAGGTTGAGAATTTCCTTGTTCTTTGTATAACAAGTGATTTTTTATTTATTTTACTTACTTATTTATTTATTTTTTAAAGATTTTATTTATTTATTTGAGACAGAGAGAATGAGAGAGAGCATGAGAGGGAGGAGGGTCAGAGGGAGAAGCAGACCCCCCGCTGAGCAGGGAGCCCGATGTGGGACTCGATCCTGGGACTCCAGGATCATGACCTGAGCCGAAGGCAGTTGCTTAACCAACTGAGCCACCCAGGCGCCCCTAACAAGTGATTTTTTAAAAAATATTTTATTTATTTGAGAGAGAGAGAGAGTGAACAAGAGAGAGCATGAGCAGGGGCGGGGAGGGGCAGAGGGAGAGCGAGAAGTAGGCTCCCACTGAGCAGGGAGCCTGATACAGGGCTCAATCCCAGGACCCCGGGATCACGACCTGAGCCAAAGGCAGACACCTAACCGACTAAGCCACCCAGGCGCCCCAACAAGTGGTTTTCTATTGTCCCTCTGACATTTGGGCTATTATGTTGTGAATTATGTATCCAATTTAATCTTCTTCTTTTGCAGGCACTCTATTAGGCATAGTGTGCATGTACATGTTGGAGTGAATGTTCAGCTCCCCTGTGGACCCCACTGACACAACCCTCGCAGGGAAAGTGGAGTGCCAATTAGTGACACTACATATCATCTCATTTTGCCTCTTTGCTGCTGGGTGAGGCTGTAAGTTCAGCTTGCTGCTAGCCCCAGTGACACTATGGGGAGGAAGAAACAGTTTTTCCTTTGGTATTTGGCTGGAATAGGGTGATATTATCTGTTCTGCTAGGCTGCCCTTTTCCTGGTCCTTTAGCTAAAGGTATCAGGGTTTTCTGGGGGTTGTTTTTGTATGTACTTGGTTGGTGGATCTAGGTTGTAGGTTTTTGCCGAACGTCATCTGGGACTCACTCTCTAGTCCTTCTTTAAGTCCCAAGATCCCTAGCCATTCCACCTTCTCCTTTCCATCTTCCAGGGTCTTCCTAAGTTTGTTTGTTGTATGATATCTGGACTTTCTTAGTTTTAAGAGAGAAAACTAGTGAGGAATGGGGCTATTCCATCTTGACCTGGACCAGTAGTTGTCATTAATACATTTTTTTAAGTTGACTCCACGCCCAATGTGGGGCTCAAACTCACAACCTTGATATCAAGAGTCACATGCTCTACTGACTGAGCCAGCCAGGTGCCCTGCATCAATACATTTTAAAACTGAGTTTATTTTCCTCCATTACTTATTGATCTATGATCTATCCTTGAGTTTTTATTTTCATTTTTTTTTTAAGAGACAGAGAGATAGATGGAAAGTGAGTGAGCATGCGAGCAGGGAGTGGGGGCGGGCAGAGAGAGAGAATCTAAAGCAAGGCATAGAGCCTGATCTCATAACACTGAGATCATGACCTGAGCTGAAATCAAGAGTTGGATACTCAACCAACTGAGCCACCCAGGAGCCCCTATCCTTGAGTTTTTCAATCACTAGGGTTCCCCCAAGTGTGTGATCTATTTTTAAGGCATTTTATCTCCATTTCTCAAGACATTCTTAGTTCTACATCAATATATCACAGGAAAGTGCTCTATTATGTCTTTAAACTGTCATTTCATTTGAGGAACTATATTGATAATGCTATGGTATACATTTAATTCTGCTTATAAAGCAAACGGAAACAAATTATCACAGATGTATCTTAAAAGTGAAATTTGGAATTTGTACAAGATGATAATTACTTTGTTTAAGAAGGAAGACAGTTATAGATTTTGAAGGCCTGATGCTGAAGGAAGCAAGGTGGACCATGGGTACTGGAGGAAAGGGATCACAGTATGCTGTTCCACAGACACCCTAGGAAAGTTCTCTTTCCCAGGATATGGCCATCAGCCTTTCTAGTCATCTAAACCTACTGGATACTGGCATGGGCCAATGCACAAGTGGATGGCTGTCCATAAAGAAAAGTTAGTTCTGGGACAGCTGGAGATGGAAAACACTGTTGGCAGAGCTTTCCATGATAATTATTTTTCTAGGCTGCCTCTTTTACAGAGAATTATCCCCTTTGTCTCTACCTGTCTGATAAAAACATAAACAGAAAGCGTAATAAGAACTGACAAGACTATAAGGTCATAAGACTCAGTCTTTCCCCTGCAATTTGGAGTAAGTGGTTTGTTGACAAATCATTTTAGAGAAATGGAAAAACACATTGGTACAAGATGTTTCATAATGTCTTTCAGGGAACTAGCTATAAAATATAGCATGAACCAAGAGCCCAAGGACAGAAAACCCTGAAGTAAGGGGAATTAACACTATGCCACACAGGGGACTCATTTCTCTAACTCACCAGTCCCCAAAGGGAGCCTTCTGAAGTGGCGACAATGGTAGCAGCTCTCGGGGTGTTGTACATCAGAGCGAGTTCTCCAAAACTGCCATGGTTGTCATACTGACCAACAGAGCGGGTTTGATTATCTTTTGTTACTAAAATATCATAAGTTCCCCTGGAAGTATAACAAGAAATAATTTCATTTATTACTTCTAATAAAAAATTTTAGACCTGGCAGGTGGTACAGAAATACAAGGTACATATGATATAGAACAGGCAATTTCCAAAAGATTTTTGCTAGTATACAGAAATACAATAGATTTTTGCATTTTGACTTTGTATTCTGTGACCTTGCTAAACTCACTTATCAGTTCTAGTAGCTTTTTTGTAGCTTGGGATTTTCTAGGGAGGATCATGTCATCAGCAAACAAAGACAGTCTCACTTTTTCTTTTTCTAATCTATATGCCCTCCCTTCCTTCCTCCCTCTTTTCCTTCTGCTTCTTTTTTCATTGCCTTACTGCATTGGCTGGACCTACAGTATAATACTGAATAGAAGTAATGAGAGCAGATACCCCTGTCTTGTTCTTGATCTTAAGGGAAAAAGAGTCAATCTTTCACCATTAATTATGATGTTGGCCATAGGTTTTTAAAAAAAAATTCCTTTAATCTGATTGGTGAAAAATCACATCTATTCCTAGTTTGCTCAGTTTTTGCATTGAAAAGGTGTTGAATTTTGTCAAATGCTTTTCCTGAAGGGATTGAAATGACTATATGGGTCTTCTTTTGTAGTTTGTTGAAAACTAGGATACAGAACTGATTAAAATAAAGAAACCAAAACGTACAATATTCTACCTATTAACTGGTAATTAATGCTAAAGAATAATATTCAGAACTGACAAACATTTAGAGAAACAGGCACTCTCAATACACCACTGAGGCAAACTTAAATATATCAATGTTTCTGCAAGATAATTAACAACATATAACAAGTTCCTTAAAGAGACCCTTTTACCAGTGACACAATTTCTAGACATTCTATAGGAGATAATCTGGTGAAGGTGGTTCCTTTCAGGTCTGAGAGGGGGTCAGAAGGAGCTGCCAAGATGATATTAACGGCTCAAGAGCTTATGACACACTAAGGCCAGCAGGTCAAACCCACATATTTTATGTCTCCCAACATGTCTTACACCTGGAATAGAGCCAGAAGGGGCCAGGGACATGGAAGTTGAGGCAGTGTATTCATGTGTAAAATTAGGCTGGGACCGAAAGATCCAGATGACAATAGAGCACAATGGTTTATGAAATCAATTCACTTGAACACTGGCAAATAACATGTTTATGAAGCACATCTTGCACATCTTGCCTAACTGTAAGGGAGACTTTTTTTTTTTTCAAAGATTTTACTTATTTATTTGAGAGAGAGAATGAGAGACAGAGAGCATGAGAGGGGGGAGGGTCAGAGGGAGAAGCAGATTCCCTGCTGAGCAGGGAGCCCGATGCGGGACTCGATCCCGGGACTCCAGGATCATGACCTGAGCCGAAGGCAGTCGCTTAACCAACTGAGCCACCCAGGCGCCCTAAAGGAGACTTTTTTGTATTGATAATGGCAACCCAAATATGGGTTGTACTGAGGACTCAGGTCAGCAGCACTAGAGGGGGCAGGCTATGGACAGAGAGGGACAAGCTTTTTTTTTCCCTTTCTTGATTTTTTTTTTTTTATGTCTTTTTATTAAGAGAAGTTCTTGGGGTGCCTGGGTGGTTCAGTCAGTTAAGTGCCCAACTCTTTTTCCCCCTTTAAAAAATTTTTTTTAAAATTTAAATTCAATTAATTAACATATAATGTATTATTAGTTTCAGAGGTAGAGGTCAGTGATTCATCAGTCTTATTTAATACCCAGTGCTCATTACCTCACATGCCCTCCTTAATATCCATTACCCAGTTACCCCATCTCTTCACCCAGCAACCCTGTTTGTTTCCTATGATTAAGAGTCTCTTATGGTTTGTCTCCCTCTCTGATTTTGTTTTGTTTTATTTTTTCCTCTCTTTCCCCATGATCCTCTATTTTGTTTCTTAAATTCCACATACAAGTGAGGAGAGGGACAAGCTTTAAGAAGCTTGTACACCTGGTCCTAAGTCCTCTCTCGCTGAACAAAGCATAGGGTAAAGTACATGCCCTGCATCGTGAATCTCATTAAGTGTAGCCACACCTCCGCAAAGCTCCATCTCCTACCGTTCTATGACATAAAAGTTGTCTCCATCATCTCCTTGGTCAATGACATGCTCATCAACTTTGACTGTCCTTTCAAACATGGCATCAAGGACTTGAGAAAGTTGTTCCTGCAGAGTTTACACACAAATAGAAAAGATGGCTTTTACATTTGCTGGGGGAAAAGATGATTATGCTTATCTCACTTTGTGACTACACAGTGGAAGTACATATATTAGACTGTTCTCCATATTCAAGCAAAACCCTTAAGCTATCTGAAACAAATGTTTTCCTCTGACCATTCAGCTTTGGAGCTCCATGGACACAGCACAGTTGCCAAGTTTTCCAAGGCAGTACCGCTTAAAAAAAAAATCCCATAGTTTATGCAAAAAGAGGTATCTCAATCATGGTGCCCATTCTCCCAGTCACACCCACACGACTGTCAGGTGCCTTGTCATCTGTAAAGCCATGAGATGCCAGCTTCCTACAGGTGTTGATCTTAACAGGATCATCAAATCTAAATGGCTGGGATGGACTTAGACGTTACCTCACAGAGCAGCACAGCAACTGCTCTGACTAGCCACGCACATCACTTAACCTCTCTGAGCCTCAGTTAATTCATATTTTAAAAAGGGTTTAATAGTTTCTATGTCATTGATTTTCATGGCTAAAAAAGAAAAATCTAAGGAAAGTATCACACAACAGGTACTCAAAAATTGACATCTATTATTGGACAGCTACTATTGCTTCAAACATTTATATACAACACATACAATTACTTACTTATCATCACCTGCTATAACCAGAAGGTATCTAACTGTACTGGTAAGTATAGTGAAAACAAAACAATGCTATTAAATTCTAACAAAACAGTGGTCTCAGTCTAGGGCCAGCATCCCTCTGTCAGGGAGGGCGATCAGTGACTGTCAGGGGGCACTAACAAATACCAGCTTCAGCTCAAAGAAAGACTTTCTCCTTGGAGGAATGTGGACTGAAGATGTGGCAAGGAAAAATTTTATTGTTGCATAATTCCATGTGACTTAGTGTCGTCAGTGTGACTCTGCTACCTAAAATAACTGAGTATCACTAAAAGCATCTCTTTAATTACACAGTTCCATGTGTGTTGAATACTGTACAAGCTGACAAATATGAAAAAGGAAGTGCTATTCATGTGCATTCCACATTCACATGGAATGTGAGCCCAGTGTTGCCAGAAATCTCATGTTTAAATACAGGTAACAATTCAAATTTTCATGTACAATACAGACCAAACCACACACTAGCTGTAACTGGCCTGTGGGCTATCCACTGGCAGCCTCTTGTCCTGAGTAACTCTTCTTCTGGTCTGGACTCTTCAAAAACATCAGTGTCATGAGATACAGAATAAGGTGTAAGGGGAGGATTCCAGGCTGGAGATGACTAAAATGACTCCATGACAACCAAAGGCAACATGTAATTCAGGAATGAAAAACAAAACAAAAAAGCTGTAGAGAACTTTACTGGGAAAATCTGAATATGGAGTGGGTGTTAGATAACATTATTGTATCACTGTTAATAATGGTTTTGTGCTAATGTAGAATATCCTCATTCTTGCAAAATACATCTTAAGGTATTTAGTGGCTAAGAACCAAGATGTCTTAAACATATTCATAAATGGCTCGGGACAAAAGAAAAAAGCAGTTCATATATATTTATGTGTGTGTACATACACACAGAAAAGAAAGTAAATGTGACAAAATGTTAACTGGTCAGTCTAGGTAAGGGTACATGAGTGTTCATGGCACTATTCTTTTGACTATTTTGTAAATTTGAAAACTTAAAACCAGAAATTTGGGAAATAAATTTTTATTTTATTCATGTATTTTTATTTCTATTTTTTTAAGTAAGCTTTACACCCAACGTAGGTGTAAATAAATTTTTAAAAACTGAAACAAATACACTCACCAGAATGGTTAAAATTTTAGAAGATAGACAATATCAAATGTTGGTAAGGATATGGAGCAACTGGGAATCTCATATATTGTTGAAGGAATGCAAAACGGCACAACCACTTTGAAAAAGATCTGGTAGATTTTTATAAAATCAAATATATACCTACCCTATGACTCAGCAATTTAGCCCTCAGGTATTTTACTGAAGAGAAATGGAAAAAAAAAAGTTCACAGAAAGACTTGTACAAAATGCCACAGCATTATTCGTAAGAGCTAAAAACAAGAAATAGACCAGGTATCCATCAACAGGAAAAAAAACGGATAAGCGAACTAGTATTTTCATATAATTGCACACTACTCAGCAACAAAAAGGAATGAACTAACATCACCAGCAACAAGGCATCCTGACATCACAGGCCCCTTGATATGATGCTCTGAGAAAGACAATATAATTTCTGTAGCAGTCAGGCCAAGAATGTATGTATATCCATATTCCAGTCATGAAGAAACATCAGACAAATCCAAACTGAGGTACATTCTATAAAATAACAAAACAGTACTCTTCAAGGTGTCAAGATTATGAAAGACCAGAAAGGACTGAAAACCACGACAGACTGAAGAGAAAGAAGAACTAAATGCAATGTGGGATTCTGGATTGGATCCTTAACCAGAAAAAAGGAAATATAAGTGAGAAAAAGGGTGAAATCCCAATAAGGTTTGTAGTTTAACTAATAGTAGTATAACAATGTTAATTTCCTGGTTTTGCTCATTGTCCTATGGTTATGTTAAGATGTTAATACTAGGGGAAGCTGGATGAAGGGTATATGGGAACTCTGTACTGTTTTTGCAGCTTTCCTGTCAGTCTAAAACTAATTCAAAATAAAAAGTGAAAAAGGAAAAGGAATGATACATGCAACAGGGATGAACCTCAAAAACTGTGCTGAGTGAAAGCAAGTCTCACACAAAAGAGTGCATACTGTGTGATTCCATTTATATGAAACCCTAGGAGAAGCAAAATTAATTTATTGTAGAATAAATCAAAATAGTAGTTGCTTCTAAGAGGAGGTGAGAATTGATCACAAGGGGGCACGAGGGAATTTTCTGGGGTGGTGACAATGTTCCATAACTTGTTAGGGAGTTTGGGTTACCCAAGTGTATACATTTCTCAAACCTCAGTGAACGCACTTAAAATTTAGACATTTCATTGTATACAAACTTTGTATCAAAAGACTATAAACAGGATAAACAGTTCCAGGATATGCGTGCCAAAGTATTTAAAGGAAGGTATAATGGTATCTGCAGCTTACTCTGAAATGAACCTAATTTTTGGGGTAAGATGGGTTAATGCAGGGGCCAACAAACAGCTGCCTGTTTTTGTAAATAACGTTTTACTGGAACACAGCCACACCCTTTCATTTATGTATCGTCTGTGGCTGCTTTCCTGCTACAATAACAGAGTTGAGTAGTTATGTTAGACATATTTACTACCTTGTTCTTTAAGAAAAAATTTACCGACCCTTTTGCTGAAAGATGGGTAGATGGCATATAACACAGCAAGCACAGTAAAATGTTAATCGTAGAATCAAGGCAGTGGATAAATGTGTGTTCCATAGAAGTCTTTCCACTTTGTTGTATTTGAGTATTTTCACGACAAAATGTTAGAAAAAAAATCATTACATCTGACATTTTAGTTATAAATAAAATGTAAAATGGTTTTCTTCAATACTAAGAAAACTATGAATATTAGATTGACATAGCAACTGCCCTTAGAACATCTGATGATATAAAATTTACAAGGAGTTTTGTTCAGTAGGTAAAAGCAAGTCTTCTTTCCATTGATACAGATGGATCTTCTAGGGAAGACAGGAGACACAGACCAGTATTCCTCACAACCAGCCTTTCCTTGAGGTCATGGTCCTTGTTTTAGTCAGCCTGAGACTAATAAAACGGACTAAAGTTCTGGCTATTCTTATAACCACACAGCTACCAAACAGACTGGTTTATTGATACCAGGGATGGTTGTGAGGATGTCATTAAAAGACTTATTTGCAGGAGCTGGGTAGTAGGGGAATTCTAATCCCATCCTTCTTGTCTCCGCACATTCTAGGATTCTCCGCCCGGTACCTCAGCCACTTATGCAGCTTCAGCGTGTGGCTCTCAAAGAAGAGAAGTAATGCAATTTGAGGATTCTCTGTCCTCATGAGGTAGCCCCTGCTCTCTATCTCCACCAAGGGAGGGAGGACAGGTCCAAGCACAGATCCTATACCAGAGCCCTGCTGACACACACCACTCCCCATGTCTGAGATCTTTGCTGAGAAGTAATCACAAGAGATGCCCCACATCTAAGGCCTGAGAAGTCACACACCTCCAGTGGGTTAACTGCTACCAGAGAAGAGAACTCCATAATTTGCATCTTTGGAGAAATTACTCTGCAGCATAAATTCAGACCCTCCAAACTAAGCCACGGTCATGCAAACCTGAACATTTCCTTTTAACATGACCGAATTGCATGGTCCTCAAATGGTATTTTCTTGGAGGAAGTACCAAAGCAATTCAGAGAAATACTAGAAGTCATCTGAAAAGCTCATTATGAGTTATGATGGGCAACACAATGCAAACATTTGTAAATAAGATGAATCTAAAGTTTTATGCCTTAGGCTAAGACGACAAAAACTGTTTAAATGACAAATAGGAGAAAAGCTGAAAGACAAAAATATTTTTAAAACCAATGTTACCTGATCAAGATTTTTGAAAAGGAGAATATCTTTGCAAGCTTCCTGAAGTCTGCATCTCTGTTGATCAGTTTTAGGATGAATCACCTGCCAATCCAAATGAAAGCAGGGAAATATTTTTATTCCATTTTAAAATTTGACTTTACTTACAGATTGCTAACTTTCTTTCTCCTAAAAAATGGGGACAATTAAGAGCATGTTTACTCTTGACTTTCGTTCTATACAAATACCAAGCAGTGCCCTGACTATGGAGGGGCACTGTGATGGGGGCAGAGCACTCAGCCTGGGGCCACTAACTGACTGTGTGACTGGCAGCAAGTCAGCTACCCCCGGGAGCCTCAGCATCCTCATTCGTAAAGAGAGGGCTATCGATTTGTTCATTCAACAGATACTAAGCATCTACTAGGTGCCAGGCACTGTTCTACCTCTGGGGATACGGGAAACGCACAGGTCAAAACACCTGCTCTCATCCAGTAAATCTGTAAAATATGTTAGAGAGTGACAAGGCTAAGGAGAAAATTAAGGTAGGGAAGGGTAATAAAAAAGTGTGTGTGTGTGGAGTGGGTGGATGAGGCCTCATTGAGAAGGTGACATTTGTGTAAAGATTTCAAGGAAATGAGGATGACCTGAGGGAGTGAGTCATGTGGACATCTCTATGGGAAGAGCACCTCAAGCAGAGGGAACAGTAAGTGAAAAGAAGGTCTTGTGGTAGGTGAAGAGCATGTCTGAGAAAGAACCAGGAGATGGGTGACTCATGCAGAGCAAGGGTGAAAGATCAGGATGAGACCAAATTGGGGGGTTAGGTGAGGGTGATGCCCAAATCACAGATGGCATTGTAGGCTACAGAACTACAACTTTTCCCTAGCCATATGGGGGCAATTTGAAGGCTCTGACTGAGGAATTAAAAAGATAAAAAATGTTTTTAAAGGCTCACACTGGCTACTGAGTGAAGAACAGCCTTGAGGGAAGCAAGAGTAGAAGCCAAGAAACTACTGTGATTATTCCAGTGCCAGATGGTCGTGGTCAGGACTGGGGTGGTAGCCATGGAGGTGTTGACAAGTAGTAGAGTGCTGGATATGTTTTGAAGACCGAGCCCATCGGATTTGCTGGAAAACTGAATGTAGGTGTGAAAAAAATAAGAGGAGCTGAGGGGTGACCCTCAAGTTTTGGACCTGAGCCCTTGGAAGGATGGAGCTGCCATGAACTGAGCTGGGGAAGACTGTGGGTGGAGAAGAATGTTTAAAGGGAAATAATGTGAGTTGCCTATTGAAATCTAAATGGAGACGGCAAGTAAACAGCAGCTGTACATGCTGGAGTCCAAACATCAGTTTAGTAGTAGTGGTGGTGGAATCTACTAAATTAGAGTCGTCAGAAGGATTAAATAAGTTAATACATGCAGTATTTAAAACAGTACCTGGTATTTAGTAGGTGCTCAAAAACTGTTATTATTACTGATATTAAGTGTTTATTGAACTAAAAAAAATAATTAGTGCTTAGTATTGCTGTTATAATTCAGAGACCTAAGTACTAAAAAAAAAGTACATTTCTTAATCTGATGAGAATTAACAGATGTCAAAAGTATTAAGTAAAATTTAAATTTGTGATACTAAAAAGTTAGTAAAAAACTGCTTTAATTTTTTTGGTGGGGTAAGTGGTAGAGGGAGGAGGAGAGAAAAAATCCCAAGGAGACTCCACACTGAGCATGGAGCCCAATGCAAGGTTCCATCTCATGACTCTGAGATCATGGCCTGAGCTGAAATCAAGAGTCAGATGCTTAACTGACTGAGCCACCCAGGTGCCCCTCCCAAAAAACTGCTTAACTGCTTTTAACTTTTAAAAGTCATCAGGAATTTTATAATATCCAGAATAAATTTTTTAAATTTACATATCTATTATATTCACACAATGGTAGCATTTTATTATTAGAATACTTCAGAAATCTTTCATGGGCTGCTCATTTTAAGGCATATTTGAAAGATCATTAAAGCTTCTTTTACAACATCAATCTTTTAAAAATGGTGGTTTAGATATGCTTTTATAAAAATAATTTGGTAACTGTACAAAAGTTTAAAAAATCTGAGTTTTTAAGAAAAGACCAAAAGTGAACCATAGTCCTGCCACAACTACTGTTAACATCTGGGATATATCCTTCCAGAAATAATTATTTGTACTAATAAATACTAGACGGATGGATAAAGATATATATGTGTGTGTGTGTGTGTATGTACTTTAAAGTTTATTTACTTTTTAAAGTAATCTCTACACCCAACAGGGGGCTCGAACTCACAACCCCAAGGTTAAGTGTTACTTGCTCTTCCAACTAAGTCAGCCAGATGCCCCAGATAAATATATTTTTTAATTATTTTTTATTTTAGAAAATGGCTGCAGATTCTCTTGATTTGAATGTACCATAACTTAGCCCCTGGTAATCCTCTATTCTGGGGGCATTGTTCGCATTTTTTACCAAGACAACACTGCAATGATCTCTGTTTATACATCCTCAGGAAGGATCCAGCTGCTTGTTAGGGATGAATTCTCCGTCAGGTAACTGCTGAGTCAGTTGGCTTCACTATGTTTAAGGCTTTGACAGCTACAGCTAGGCACCCCATCTTACCATAACCTCAACCAGTCCTGCTTTCATTCTTCTTAATATTTATCTGGTAGATAAAAGAAAACAGCACCTTGTTGAGATTTTAATTTGTATTTATTTTAATTACCAGCATGATGTAGAGGAGGGGAGTGAGTGGGGAATAAAGCAATTCTACCTAAGGCCTTTGCAGCCGTTCTTACCCTTGGATCAGTATCTTCCTCTTCCTCATCAGGGTTATAGGTCTCAGCACAGACTAAATTTGGAGAGAAAAACATAAAGAGAAAAGTGAATAAAACAGATGTGTACTTTTACTAAAAAATAGGAAGTGAATACAGTTTCCTATTATTCACTGTTTTCTAAAGCTATAATGATTTTTAAAGCCCTTTCATCAATTAATAAATATATTAAGTACCTATTCATTCCAGGAATGCTATTAGGTGCTAAAATGCCAGCTTTCTAGGGATTGGTAGTCCCAAAAAGAAGAGATTTGGTAAAAATATATCATAGAGTAAATCCCACAGTATTGGCAAGGACAAGCAAGGAGGTGCTGTCTCTGCTGAATATATATATTTTTAAATTTATTTGACAGAGAGAGACACAGCAAGAGAGGGAGCACAAGCAGGGGGAGTGGGAGAGGGAGAAGCAGGCTTCTTGCTGAGATGTGGGGCTCGATTCCAGGACCCCGGGATCATGACCTGAGCCAAAGGCAGACACTTAATGACTGAGCCACCCAGGCGCCCCTCTGCTGAATATTTTTTAAACAGGGGTGGAAAATCAGAGAGTACAACATATGCAATATAAACACATGGACATGGATATGGAATAATTATGAAAAGAATCAATTAAAATTGCTCAACATCATTCTGTACATGTATGACTTAAAAATAAGAACGAATGTTAACATGAATACTATATGTCAGTCTTTGTTCTGGGTACAATATTATATAAATCTAAAATCAACTTGATTTTCTTGGTAGGTAGCCTGTGTTTGTTGTGCTGGCTGCCTGCAGGACTTGTCTCTGTTGCAATTCAAAGATTCAGAAAATATTCACTGAACATTTGTTTATAATAGCAAAATATCAGAAATGATAGAACTACCCAAAAAATATGACATAACTAACTATTTGAATAATATGCTATAAGAAAGAATGAGGAAGATCTCCACGGGCTAAAAGTGAGTTCTAGGGAAAAAGAGCAAGGTGAAGAATATAGGTAGTATGCTATCCCTTCCATAAGAAAGGACTTCTATGAGAAAGAAGGAGAGCTAAGAAGAGGGGAAAATAAATATAAAAATATGAATATATACACAAAAGTTTTGTTTTTGTTTTTTTTTACCTATTTATTTTTCCAAAGGGAAACGAGAAGGATATACCAGGAAATCAGCAGGCAAGGAATGTAAATGGTTTCTGACCCTACATTCAACGCATTTGTGTGATGGCTAACAACTAGGGGACAAACATACATACTGCTCTCAATTTAACTCCTGGTTTCTTAGACACATTTACTCACTGAAGCCTTGGTCTAGCTGCATGCCAGCTTCCCTTTCCATTGACTCTCTGAACTCATGGAATACCTGAGAAATGGTATGTCACGTAGACATGAGTCCCTTCCTGCCTAGCCTACAGTACTCTAGTGTGGGCCACACCTCCTGTACCATAATGCCATCAATACTCTGCCATAATGCCATCAATATTCAATCCAACAGGGATCCAGTATCCGTACACAGAGCAAAATTAGGGAGAAGGGAGTTCAGAGGACAAATACCATTCTACTTCCTAAAACAGCATCAGGTGATGTTCTGCAGGAAGGTCCGCCTAGTCCCTGGCTGATACAGGCTTTGGGTAGCTGAGCCAGGGAAGTGACAATAGGATGTAGATAATGACTCACTAACTTTCTCCAAGTCATTACTGATTCCACAAGAGGAGGTCAGCTACATTTATTTCAGATCTGTCCTAAAGATTAAAACACACACCTTCCTCCCTGCTCAGCGGGGAGCCTGCTTCTCCCTCTCCCTCTGCTGCTCCCCCTGCATGTTCTCTCTCTCTCTCTGAGGAATGAGGAAGGAATGAGGAAGCTGCAGTGAGGGCAGACACTGTTAAACTGCAAGCTTCTTGGTTCTCTGAGCTCTTCATTAACGTTGTCATTAGCAGCCCAGGTTTCTTCCTGTTTTTCTTTCTTTTTTATTAATGTATAATGTATTATCTGTTTCAGGGGTACAGGTCTGTGATTCATCAGTCTTACACAATCACAGCACTCACCATAGTACTTACCCTCCCAATGTGCATCACCCAGCCACCCCATCCCTCCCACCCCCTCCACTCCAGCAACCCTCAGTTTGTTTCCTGAGATTAAGAGTCTCTTATGCTTTGTCTCCCTCTCTGGTTTCATCTTGTTTCAGTTTTCCCTCCCTTCCCCTATGATCCTCTGTCTTGTTTCTCAAATTCCACATATCAGTGAGCTCATATGATACTTGTCTTTCTCTGACTTATTTTGCAGCCCAGGTTTTTAAACCAGAAATTTGTGACTCATCATGACTTTCTTCATTCACCTCTTATCCAATGAATACATCAAATTCTACTTCAGAAATGTCTTCTTAGAAAAATGCATTTAAAAACCCTCACTTTGGAGACAGATGGGTACATGAGTATTATTATACTAACTTTCTCTACTTCTGCATATGTATGAAAATTTTCATTTAAAAAGTTTAAAATAATAAGCCTGCAGGGTTGAGACTGACAGGATTTTACTGATAATGACACAGTCTTGGCTAGCCTATTTCCAGGCTTGCTTTTCCTTTGATTTTGAAGGAAAGTACTTTAGTGACTTGGCTTGTTTTATATTTTTATTTTTTAAAAAAGACTCAAAGGTCTTTCTTTAAAAAAGATTTTATTTATTTTGAGAGAGAAAGAGCGTGCACATGTGTGCCTGAGCAAGTGGGGGTGTGTGGGGGGGGGTGAGGAGAATCTGAAGCAGACCCCACACTGAGCACTGAACCCAACTCGGGCTCGATCTCACGACCCTGAGATCATGACCTGAGCCAAAATCAAGAGTCATGTGCTTAACTGACTGAGCCACCCAGGCGTCCCTCATTTTTATATTTTTAGACATTAACATAACTGAGGCAGGAGATGTTACAGTCTTTAAGTCTTAAGGTATAGCACTGTGATTTAAACAAAAGTAGTTAGTTCCAGTAGAATTATTATTAATGTTTCTATTTGTGGAAAAGCATTATTTTATTTTTCAAAACTGCTTTTGAATTTTTTCCCTTTTCTTTTGAACTCCAGACTCACCTCCCTTTGCCTCTTCCCTCTGTTTCCACCCAACCTCTCTACTTTTTCCTGGTCTTGACCCCAAATCACTTTTCTCATCTTTCATATAAAAATCCGTTTTTAAGTGTCTATGTGATTGTTGCCCCAGAGTCTGTGTGATCCCCGATGAAGCCTCAAGAACAACACTAAGTGTCATGAGACGCTTAAGACCTACTGAAAATGAAGACTGAAAGAGTAGCACAATCCCTTGTTCCAGGGAACCTGTTTTGCCACAGTTGTCCAGCAGATGTCACTGGTCAGCAACATGAAACTATACAAAGGGACAAGAGACCATCCAGCACAATTTCTTCTTCTAAATTTTAAATGATGCTTCTGTCATCCAGAAATGTGAATCATTTTTTTTAAAGATTTTATTTTTAAGTGATTTCTACACCGAACGTTGGGCTCAAACTCACAACCCTGAGATCACGAGTTGCCCACCCCACTGACTGAGCCAGCCAGGCACCCCCGGAAATGTAAATCATTAAAATGTGCTGGTGAGAGAAAACTCTTTCTTTCTTTCTTTCTTTTTTTTTTAAAGATTTTATTTATTTGACAGAGAGAGGCACAGCGAGAGAGGGAACGCAAGCAGGGGGAGTGGGAGAGGGAGAAGCAGGCTTCACGCGGAGCAGGAAGCCCGATGTGGGGGCTCGATCCCAGGACCCTGGGATCATGACCTGAGCCGAAGGCAGACGCTTAACGACTGAGCCACCCAGGCACCCCGAGAGAAAACTTTCATTTCTACAAAGAAATGAGCACAGATCCTGGTCACAGCCTGAGGCTCTATGCTCTCCTGCCAGCTCCCACAAAGAGTTGACTCAGGGTGTGTGTATTAGTCAACTTGGGCTGCCATAACAAAATATCAGGCTGGGTGGCTTGAAGAATAGAAATCTATTTTCTCACAGTTCTGGAGGATGGAAGTTCAAGGTCAAGATAATGGCACCATTTTGTTTCTCATGACAAAATATCAGGCTGGGTGGCTTGAAGAATAGAAATCTATTTTCTCACAGTTCTGGAGGATGGAAGTTCAAGGTCAAGATAATGGCACCATTTTGTTTCTCATGGGACCCTCTTCACTTGACTCACAGGTAGCTGCTCTCTGTGTCCTCACATGGCCCTCTGTCTCTGTGGTGCATTCCCGGTGTCTCTTCCTCTTCTTATAAGGAAATCAGTCCTATTGGATTAGGGCTCCACCCTTATAACCTCATCTAACCTGAACTGCCTGTTTTTTTAAAGGCCCTTTCTCCAAATACAGTCATATTGGGGTTAGGCCTCACATAGGAATTTGAAGGGGACACAATTCAGTATGTAACACTGGGTTTCTAAATTATTTCCAGTAGTGCTTGGTAATATTTCAGCTGAAGATAGCTATTGGTGGAAAAAATACTGAATATTGTGAAAGGATAGCAAGATAAAAATCAGTATTTCAGTCCATTATAAACATGTAAGCCTTAAAAGGCAGGGACACCTGGGGAAGGAAGAGCACCTATCATGCAGACATGAGTGACCACCATGGCACCAGACTCTACTGACTGGTCAGTCATCACCAGAGTCAGATACTCCCTGCCCAAATGTGGCATGATGTCAACACACAAATTTCTGATTAAAATGCTTTGAAGCTTCAACACATATTTAATAAAAGAAAGGGTTTTCTGGGGATGAAGTTTCTTAATGAACAAATCAGACTAACATTTCAAACTCAAAGGCAGGTAATACTACTTTAGGACTATTTCAAGAAAGCTGCCTTTAAAGAATTTATGAACTCTCGTCATCTAATGAGTTTGTCACATGTAATAGGACTGTTCTGCTAGAACTTAAACTTGGAAGGCACAGCTTTTCAATTCCTTGCTTTGCAACGGAGAGAGAACATCAAGGATGGGAAGAGCTCATCTCTGAAGCTACTACGTGCACTGGTGTCTGAGGTTGGATCCACCCACCACTCATT